CACTTTCTGATTTCACAGAGCCTGCTTTGATTCTAAAAGGTTAGCAAACACAGGGACAAATCTTGTATCTGAGAAATGATAGTACAAAATAAAGTAGACTGGAAAGGCAGAAAGAACTGATTAAAAGTGAGAACAATGAAAAGCAAAAGCTGGGAAAACAATTGTGTGTCTTATACTAAGCATCTGAGATATCGTACACGGCGTGGCAGTGGTTGGTGTTGCTGCCTCACAGCAAGAAAGTGCTGGGTTTGAATCCAGTCTTTCTGTGTGGAGTTTGCGTGTTCTCCATGCGTCTGTGTGGGTTCTCTTCAGGGACTCTGATTTCCTCCCACAGTCTAGGAATGTACATGGGGTTAGGGTAATTGGTGATACTAAATTAACCATAGGTGTAAATGTGAGAGCGAATGGTTACTTGTCTCTCTGTGTTAGTCCTGTGGGCAGATTGGCGATCTATCCAGGGTGTACCTGCCTCTCACTCTATGACAGCTGTGATAGGTTCCAGCCCCTCCCATGATCCTCAACTGGAAAAGCGGAAGAAAATGAATGCATGGATCTTATCTTATCTGGAGCTTCTGCTGGGACAGAGATGAGCTGATTCCTGCAGTTGCATAGAGAGTCTACTTGTGGCTACTGCTTTAAGCTTGTTAAATTGATTATTGATCTGAACTCTAGAGAAAATGTCACAAGCTTGCTACGAGGCATAGCTTATAAAAATAATTGTCTCTTGTGAGCTTGTCTGACTATCTGTATGTTTTCCACTTCTCTTCCTGTCCATCTGTCTGCCTGCTAGTAGAAGCCACTGTGCCACTACTTGTGCAAAGACCTTCCTATTTTTTGCATTTAAGACACTACAGCAGACTCAAAGACTGTTTGAACAGCTTTTGTCATTTGTATATATTTGTCTTATCTTTTTAAATTCATGTTATGATACACGTGTGTGTGTGTGTGTGTGTGTGTGTGTGTGTGTGTGTGTGTGTGTGCGTGTGCGTGTGTGCGTGTGTGTGGACGCCTTCAGTGATTTGTGGTGAGTAATGAGCAGACAGATGGTTAACACTGCAGGGTTTGTTGATGCCAACATTGGAGATTAAAGCAAGGATAGATGGACAGCATGGGTGTGTTTGTTTATTCCATATACGTGCATGATTGTGTGGAGAAGACAAAAAGCCTCACATGTCGTATCAGGGCTCGTGTGTAAAATTGTTTATCAGCTAAAGAGCAGCAGGAAGAGCATAGCCTCAATTGTCACATACTCTCTAAATTGACATATATAAGCACAACTTTAAGTGCAGACTTACTCATATTATTCTGTATGTGCAGCTATTTTTGTAAGGTCTGGGTTATGTCACTTCTAAACTTGCCAGATTTCCTTTGGCTTCAAGAAAATGTGCCTCATTATGGTGTGCAGCGAGGCATCATAAACTACTTTGTTGTAGCTTTTTTCTTAAGCGACCTCCATGAATTTTTTATCTGTTTCTTCGTCATGCTAATGCCTATGAGGGCGAGGTGTGTGTCTGTTTGTGTGTGCGTGTGTGTGTGTGCTGTGTTAGAATGAAATCAGCAACTAAAGTCATAAGAGCTGCTGACTGACACACTGCTGAACAAGGCTAATACAACAGCACGCATGAAAGGGACAGCTGTCTCGTCCTGGGGTCTGACTCTGTTGTAACATAAGAACGTGCAGTCTCTCTCTCTCTCTCTCTTTCTCTCTGTCTCTCTCACACACACACAATGCACAAGCACGTATGCACACAAACATGCACAAACTGGCCCGCCTTGTCAGAGTTTTGTTGTGACTCTGCAGAGCTGTCTGTGGCAGGAAGCACAGCGGCACCTCCCTGCTGCTGTGCCCCCTGTCTGGCGTGGCATTCACCCTGTATGTCTACAGAGAGATCAAAAAATGTATGCACTCTCTATTTTGCATGTCTCACAGCATTTCCTTCCTTTCATGTGCTATTGGGTGCTACAGTTTTATATTGCCATCTCTCCTTTACGGGATCAATTTAGTCTCTTCTACAGTTAATGTCTGTCACAACTTTCCTCCTTTGTTGTGACCCTGAGTGCTGCTGGCAAATGGTTTCCGTGTAATATTTTCTATGTCTACAATCCAGCTCTTTCACTGGTTCTGGTTCACCTTTCATCTGAATTGACGCACTTTTCCCACCCTCTTACAATTACATATTTCTTTGTTGCTGTTGTTGTTGTTTGTTTTTTTTTTACTTTTTGACTGAAGTGAACCTTTCTGCAGTTTCTCCCATGAGCAGTCTCTATTTTTTGCTGTGGATTTATAGCTCACACTGAGAAGCATATGTGATATGAATAGCTAGCAGGCGGAAAATCATTGTGGATAGTACTGGAACAAAAAGACGGGGAAACTCGGCAAAGAGATTGGACTTCAGTATAGTATTTATAGCTTAAATATTGCAGCACATATATCCTGCATTCAACTGGATAGTGTTATCTGTAAGGCATTCTGGCGTGGTTGCATCATAAAATGTACTGTGCTCACAATAGAACTGAATTGTATAAATAAAGTTCCTTCATCTTGTGTGAATATCTGTGTGTTTTTAGTATTGCTGAACTAAGCACAAATAAATAGTTTAATTAATGCAACTTTTCTAAAGGCCATTTTAATTGTTTCTGTTAACCTTGATTGGCTATCTGAGTGAAAGAAAAAAAAAACTAAATTGTCCTAAGGATAAGTCCCCAATCAGCAGAAAAGTTGCAGTTTTACAGAATTGGTGGTAATTGGTTTTTAGTCCTTTTGTTGCTTTTCAGAAAATAAATGCTTATTCAAATTTGCCATGACTTTCTTTTGATAGTCATATGACACTTTTCACACTTTTAAGAGACAGTTATGTGTCGTTAGAGAAATTGTTTGCGTCAGTCTAGTAACTGTTTCTAAATTGAACAGATTATGGGAAAGTCTGACGACTATTATAATATTTAACATTACTAAAAATCAATAATTCATAACTGAAAATTTAAATTCCTAAATTAAAAAGACAAAATGCACTGGTCGGCCATTTTATTAGGTACACATTGCTAGTAGCAGGTTTAATCCTTTTTTGTGTTTTGCCTTCAGAGCTGCCTAAACTCTGCTTTTGGTCCATGTTGACATGTTGCCATCACACAGTTGCTGCAGATTTATTGGCTGCACATTCATTGGATTGAGATCTAGTGAGTGTGGGGAACTTGCAGTCAGGTTCATTAAACCAGTTTTATTTTTTTCTGCTTTGTGACATGGTGCGTTATCCTGCTGGAAGCGGCCATCAGAAGACAAGTACACCGTAGTCATACAGCGATGTACATGGTCAGCAGTAATACACAGATAGGCTGTGGCCAAGAGCATATCCCTCACATCATTACAGTCATCAGCAACCTGAACTGTTGATACAAGGATGTAGGATGGATCCATGCTTTCATGTTGTTTATGCCAAATTCTAACAGACCATCTGAATGTCAGCAGAAATCGAGACTCAGCAGATCAGGCAATGTTTTTTTCCCATCTTCTGTTGTCCAGTTTTGGTCAGCCTCTGTGAAGCCTCAGTTTCCTGTTCTTAGCTGAGAGGAGTGACACCCGGTGTGGTCTTCTGCCTCTTTAGCCCATTTGCTTCAAGAGTGGATGTGTTGTGTGTTCAGAGATGTTGTTCTGCATAGTACGAACCAGACTCCTCTGACCTCTGGCATCAAAAGAACATTTTTGCCCAGAGAACTGCCACTCATTGGATAATTTCTCTTTTTTGGACCATTCTCTGTAAAGCCCACAGATGGCTGTGTGGGAAAATCCCAGTAGATCAGCAGTTTATGAAACAGTCATACCAGCCCATCTGGCGCTAACAACCATCCCATGTTCAAAGTCATTTAAATCACCTTTCTTCCTCATTCCTGGTAACAGAAATGAGGAAGAAAGGTGAACTTCATCAAGTGATCTTGACCATGTCTACATGACCAAATGCTTTGACTTGGCGCAACCTCACAGTGACTGGGTCCTTTCTTAATGCTTCATTTGACATTTTTACAGTAATGGAATAACTGTATTTCCTACCACTGGTGTTAATTATTATGAACAAATAAGCTGGGATTTCTATTGTTCTCCCCATACTGGTGATATATGTGAATGCAGTATTCTAGTTGTGTTTCTAGTAAAGCCCTGTTAATGCTGGGCTACACACTGATGAGAAAGAGTATTATTTAATAAACGAATGTAGTGGGTATTTAAGTGCTTTAATATTATACTGTATTGATACTGCAACAATACCAATAATATGAATGGGAGGGAGAATAAAATGAAATTCTAGGAAGAAAATCTGAAAAGTGTGTACATGTGGGCAGCTGTCTGCGGCGGGGCTTCCGGTTTTACCTTGAGCAAAACCCAATGAACACCAATTAACCCAATTTGCCTTGGCTCACAGCTCCAAATTAGAGAGATCCTGTAAAGTAATTAATGTGAAATCCATAAATGCTGTCATCTCTACAGCTTAGATTCTCTGTCTGTCAGTGTCTCCATGTGGTAATTCAGAATAACACTACTGTGTAATCCTTACTAAAGTCCAGCTAAGGGGATTGGTGACTATAAAACGGGCTCTCTCACTGACTAAACATCTGTGGACACGGAGACAGCAGCTGGTACCGTCTTCCTGGATGTGCCCCACGTTAACTTCATTTAGTATCGTTCCATCTCAGCAGTTTAGGCACTCTGCAGTGAGTATCTCTGCACGGTCTTGTGTCTGAGTGACAGCAATAGAGAAAGGCAGACAGAGCAGTATGATAAATTGTCAAGCTGAGTGAGGTATGCGAGAGCCTCACAGCTGGTTGCCCTTTGCTATTCGTGTGTTCATGAGCACGATACGCAGGGAGCCAGTGTTTGTGTGCGCGCCTCTTTCACAGAGGAGCGTAAGCCAGCAGCAGCAGCAGCAGCAGCAGTAGTACAGCGGAGCGTGTTCAGTGTCTGGATGTTAGCGCTGCCTCTCTCAGCTGTGGGACGAAGCCTTACTGTAGGTATTCACACACACACACACACACAGATGCATAAATACATGTGTACATATTGCTGTTTTGATACTCTCCATGCTGATTTTCTTGTGGGATACTTTTCCATATACTGATGCCTCTTGCTTCCCATGCATGCTGTTGTATTATGCCAAGGTAAATAGTGGTTGTAAAGCACCATTCTTTAATTCCAGGAGTAATTCACATCCTGAGGATTTGACTGTGGTAATCATTGGATGTGGAAATGTGTTGTTCACCAACCAAATGTTTCTATCACTTCAGCACGTTTGTCCATTTGCATTCAGAACCCATTTTCATACAGAATTTCCATAAACCCGAGTAGCTGCTTTGTTTACGCGACAATGTGTGCTCAGCGTTACCAAAAGACAGCAGTGACCATCTTTGAACTATATGCTTTCGTGCATGTTTGTGCGCTTTATTTGTGGTAGGAAGTGGCACGGCGGAGGTGCAATGGGTGTGTCGTGTCCAGTTTCCAGTAGTGTGGAACCTGAGCTGGTGCTGCCGGTGTGACATGACACACGGTGTTGTTAGTCACTCACTGGAGAGAGAAGAGGAGATGACAGTTTTTTTTAAAAAGGGATATCCTCCTGCTGGAGCTCTCTTCTTAACGTCAAAACACAGAAAGGTTCAAATGTTTCGGTATTTCCTTCCACCCCCTGCAGCTTTGCAGCTTTAGACTTGTTTCCTTAATTCCAGTTTTATGGGCTTGGTAACGAACGTGCTCTGAATGAGAGAAAAACACAATTGATGGATGATGAGATGTGAGAGGGGGAAGTGAGGGGATCGAGGCAAGGCAACGGAGAATAAATGGGAAGAAAGGAGACTAGAGGAAAGCGAGAAATACAGAAGGTGAAAATAGTGGGGATAGCCTGAGGAGGGTGAAGAAAAATGCTCTAATGGGGAGTATCTTTGTGACTCTCTCTGCTGATGTCCCTCTTATCAGACCAATGCTGGATATGTTGCAGAGATTCTACAAGCAATCTTTGATTGTGAGCTTAGGTTTTTTATGAATTTACAAGACCAAGATCAGTTCATGACAAGGAAACATTTGATGTAAAAGAAAAAAGCCTCCAGGGGATTTTCACATTTCTGCATCACACCTCAAGCTGTCTGTTGTTCATATTCAGAAAAAAGAGAATAATTTCCGTATAAGAGATGACTGCAGGTTCTGTTGCTTCACACATCCAGTAGTGCAGCTCATGCATAATGCATACTATGGAGTTCCAGTGGAAGTTTTAGGTGATAAATGCAGAATTCATAAGACAGTTTTAGGTTTTGTTTTATAAACTTAATTTACTGCATTACTGCATGAACAATGCTGTCAATTTATATGAATCGAAGGGAGAATAAAATGGAAGCTGCAGGAAAAAAACAGAACCCCGGTTTGCCGTGGATCACAGCTGGATGGGCAGCATTAAATGGATGTAAAGCAAATAGTATAAAATCCAAAAATGCTATCATCTCCACATTTGCTTTCTACCTCGCTGTCTTAGTACTTTCCAGCACTGTTTCTATGTGGTAACTCTAAGTAACACTACCATGTAATCTTATCAAAAACCCAGCTGATGGTGCTGATCATGTTTTAGATGCTAAATTGAATTTTCACAATACAGTTTAATGTGGAATCCTGTTCATTTTTTAATATTATCATTTTATTTACTGCATTCATTGCATTTCTGTGTAATGATTACAGTACAATAGGCACATGTAATCCAGTTGAACATGCTCTTATCATTTTGTACATTTATTAATTCATGACACACTGATTAGATTCGATTTATAAGACATAGTTCTGGTTTCATTTTGATGGATTGCATGTTTTGTACCAGCGGCATCCTTAGAGTGTGAAGGATGCTCTGAAATCCATTAAAGGCAAAACTAGTACTGTGTCGACACCCTGTGTTTTTAACCAACCAGTTAAGCTGCTGCTGCAGGACCACATTCATCAGCAGCTTGTGCTATGTTCACTCCCACATCGAGTTTCATAATTTAAAAGAACTTCCAAACAATGACTGATTACCTGTCAATGCTCCCAGCAGAGTTCAGCAACCATGAACACTTGCAGCATATCCCTGGTGTAAACATCCCCCCCCGGGAGACTTTGAGAGGAGAAATCCTTCCTTTTCTTTAGCTACTACTGTTATTGTCGGGCAGTATATTTTTTGGGAATAAGTCAGTGCAAAAATAAATAGCCACACTGCTTCAGTGGTTAGCATACCTTTAAAGTCAAACACCCTGAACATAGCAAATTGCTAGTAAATTAAGCTTTGTAGCGAATTGTTTCTTTGTTGAAATAATTTGTGTGGAATGAAGTGAAGTGTGTTGAAGAATAGCTAAAATTATTTCTCCGTGTATGCAAATAATAGCTGTGGGTGTGCTGCTCAGTTGATATTGCCTTTTGGAGCTTTTTGACACCTAGGTATTTAAACAATTTTCACAGAAAGGAAAGGAAAAAAAACTCATTGCTTTTGTCATATGCTCACTCACTGCAGCAAAATTCATTGTCTAAACTGTTTCCCAGGCTTGTGTATCTCTATGAATCAGATAAATCCACCGCCTCCCCGTCTTCCCCTCTGCTGCTCTGCATCACAGTTTCTGTTGCTTTTCCGTCTCTTTTCATCACTTGGCATATTGCTTTATACACAGTCCATCACCTGCTCATTGCGGTGATGCCGTCTACACCTCGTCTCACATGTCAGTCTGAGGCTTTTGCAGCAAAGGTAATAAGGAGTATGTGACGTTTTTATTCTGCTTGCTGGTTTTCTTCCTAGTGTGGAGGTGGTACCACAGTCTTTAATCAGCGCTATCATCGTGGTGTGCAGGGATGACACTAGCTGGCAGAGAGACAAACTGATCTATTTTGGAAATTAAAGGTTCATTGGACTGGATGCGGTCTATAATTGTCACAAACATATTCCTCTAGTTCTGCTCTTCTGTGTATTTTAGGTTCATAACCCTATACAGACATTTTCTATGGAGACTCTGGTACATAAAAAGTGATGCCGATCCATCTGGTCAGTGTTCCTAAAATTTTACACAGCAGGTGGTGCTGGATGACATGCAGGAGGTGTAGCTTTAAACGCTAAATACTGTAGCTCTTATTGTTCAGATCATTTTTAAAAACAAACAGATGAGCTATATAAATGTTGCTCAGACCAGAACAATCTAGCATCACGATTCAGATGGAGAGATGGGAGTTTGTGCTGCCAGCAGTTCTGATGAGAGGCCATGCTTTATCAAACACTGTCACTTTATCATGTTGATGTCATTAAATGGATCCATGACAAATGGCTCATCCCGTCCCCTCCAAGGCCAATAGGGGTAATGGCAGATAGAAAGCTAAAGAGGAATAATCTAAATGAGTAGAGAAAAAGGTGGACAGAAGAAAGCGATTGGACCAGGACAAAAAAAAAAAAAAAAAAGCTAATCCCACAGCTGTCTCACTGGATAGATTTTACTTGTTCACTGAAGGAACTACAAAACACAGGAGTGCATTAAAGATTACAAGTGCATTTTTTCTGCACTCATTTGAATTCTTTTCTGAAAAATGTAACAATCCTTCCAAGATGATGATGTCAGAGAGGGTTGCTGATACTAGCAGGCTTTAGTAGTAGCAAGTTGCAAGTTAAAGAAAAAGACAGTGTAGGACCTGCATGTGCTGGTAATGTGCTTTTTAGGCTCATGAATACACAGTGAAGTCCAAAATAGCAGTGCCATTAAGGAGCATGAATACTTTTTTTTATTATTATTCATTAGTCGTTGTTACAAGATGTGCTGGTAATGATATACAACAAGCTGAATCTCAGGGTGTCCACAACAACAAGCACATCAGTGATTTAATGTAAAACAAAATTGAAGACCTGTTTGCATTTAATTAACAATACAAAAAGATTTTTGGATATTTTCCTCATTTATTCAAATACTCTATAAGCACTGAGTGATTTTCATAAAACCACAAAACCCTAGAATGCATTTCATTGGCGTCTCTTCAGTCAAATAAATGCCCATTAGTCTACACTTGAAACACTCGATCTGTGCTTTGTTTAGCTTGTTTAGTCGTTATGTCCCTTATAACGACGATACACAAGATAAGATTCGAGATATAACGGAATTAGAGTTCTCTGAACTTCACACAGAATGTATAATGTAAACAAGAGATAAATACTTTTTATGCTGACATGTATAAAAAGTATAAGAAGATCTAAGAAGTACATTTTTTTCTTTTTAGATTAGAGATGGCACGATACCACTTTTTAATGTCCGATACAGATTCCGATATCATAAATTTGGATATCTGCCGATACCGATATGAATCCGATATAGCATATTTTGTAATCAATAAAACTGTTTTTTTTATAAATATCTTGCTGTATTTTGTATAAGTTCATACTCAAGTTTTAAAAAACAAGAGACTGAAGCTATTCTGCTATACCTGTATGCAAAAAATACACTCCACCCAAAACATTTTATAGTTCAGCAACACTGATCAATTTAATAAATTTAAAGCAACACCATCCTCCCTATTCTGGTATTTTAAAGAGTACTTACCTACCTAACTACTAGGGTTGCCAACTCCCAGCAAAAATATTAGGGAACCACCCCCCTCCCTTAATCGATGTAATCAACTTTAATTTAATGCAAGTGTAAAACAAATGCACAATAATCAATTATTTTTCTACAATAGTTAAATAGATTCAACATCTTTCTTCAACAGAATTGCAGACTGCACAGATGGTACCTTCCCAAAGGAAAAAGTACTATAGCTTACTAGGGTGTATATTAGTGTATATTACTTTATACTATAATGGATAGTCAGGTGACCACTTTTGTTGTAAGATTCAGATAATTATTTATTTATAAGTTTTTAAATGACATAATAAAGAAAAATATTTCTTTGTGCCCCCCTTTTCCTGTTAATGCCCTACCCTGGCAAAATTTTGCTAGACCCGCCCCTGCACGGTTACCAGCCGTCAGCTACATAGAAAAGGATCCTGGTGTTATTTGTCTCATAACTTCCCTTCAACTCATTCATGTCACCTAAAGGGTAAACCTGTTTCTCCATCACCTGTTCAGCTCTGATAATTCAGTAAGGACATCTCCTGGTTTCATCTTCATGTTTCCTTCTCACATATCCAAACCGACATCGTAACCAGCAGCTTTTACAGCCTTGGCTCCAGCAAACATCAGCTGATACTAGAAAGTAATATTAAATAAATTTTAACAACAGCTTTTCACCCTTAAACGCGCTGCTGTTGTTTATCCGCTGGTCTCCTGTTTCTAGCGCAAAGTGGGCGATAAACAAACAAGAAAGACGAAACTTGCGGCAGAAAAGCCGATCAGCTGATCATTGATCAGTTTCATGTTTGAAGTAATAACAGGAGAGGGAGGGGGAGTGAATGAGAGAAGTAGATGCAACTCAGCAGCAAAGACAAAATAATTCCAGCTTTGTGTCTATTTTTTAATTCCAGCTGAAGTACGGGACACCTCGATATGGAACTCTGATGGTCAGTCCAGCTGTGGCTCAACATATCAGTTGTTAAGCTTAACGTGGTAATACTATGCAAACATTCAGGGATGAACTTACACACTTGCTTTACTTCTCTAGGATAGTTTTCGCCGAGATGAAATGCTGCGGTTAGGAAGCATGTAGCGAGGCTCCAACAGACTGCTGACAGGTCTGGGAGACAACAGCTGCTCTATCACGTGACAGATACTGCTCCGATGCGCCGAGCTGGGTTAAGCCAAGTTTTGTGAGTTTTGTGAGGTGATTTTGTGATACTTCGGATCGGACTACATTTTTTATTTCTCTCTGATATCTGATCCAGTAATTTAGGTCAGTATCGGACCGATACGTAATATCGGATCGGTCCAGCTCTATTTTAGTATGAAAAAAGCGTGTCTAGTCATATTAAGGTTGGAAAATGTTGGTTTATGAGGAGACAACAATACAAAAAAAATCTATAAGGCAGAAATTTAACTGGTTTACTGTGAACATTTTAATCAGAGTATCGATTTTAGGATTCTGCTGCTAAATTAAATGTTAAATATTGCTAATACATGCTGGGATGCTTATCGAATGATGAAGAAAAGCAATTGTCGGATATTTGGTACAGGGACCAATAGTGTATAGTATGATGTACAGTGTGTAGTTTGTGTGGTTTGTCAAAAAAGCACATCAGCGCTGTTTTTGGCTTGTTTATTTTTGCTGTAAAGTCGCTGAGCCAGCAAACGTAGCTCTGGATCAACGTGTTCTTGACGGTTGTGCTCCGCTCTGCTCTGTTCAGAGCTTTGCTTTGCCTTGTTTTGGAAGTCGTGTCAGCACAATCTCAGACTGGCACTGACTCGTCTCTGGTGGGTTGACAGGTTGGGTTGGCAGCAGGGCGACCAGCTTGTCTGTCTGCAATGTCAGCAGCACTTGACACTCGTGGCTCAGTTTGTCAATGCACCAAATTTACTGGTGATAAACACATGGGGGAAACCTGCTAATGTTCCGCATGCCGCCAATATTTGTGTGTTTTGGTTCCGTAACATGATATTTTGTGTAGCCCTATTTTGAAGCTTCAACATTATTCTGGAGGGAAAAGTGACCAGCTTGGTGTATCTGGTTGTCTCTATCTTCCTGTGTTTAACTTTTATGTAGTCTTTAGAGCTTTTCAGGTGTCTTCTATTTATCTTTAAATTTAAATTAAATCTTTGTTTTTGCATTTCAGGATACCATTATCCTTCACGCTCTTGAAGTCGCTCTACCTTTACTCAATCTGTGACTCCCTTTTACTCGATTCACGTCCTCAGCCCTCGTCTCCCTGTCAGACCTTTGTTCTTCATTATTTATGGAGAGTGGCTGTGTTGTGGAACTGTCAGTTGCAGCTGATAAGAAAGCTGCTCCGCTTGCATTAATTTCAACTGAACAGTCACCAAATTTGTGTCTGTCTCCGTCAGTCTTCCGGTGAATGTAATTTGTCACACCATTTGCCTTGTGTTAGAAGTCATAGCAATGATAGGTTAATACAGTTGCATCAGAATGTGGTGTTAACACATTTAACACTTTTTATCCACACCAATGAGAGTTTCCCTTGAGGTACAAGAAGATGTCTCCACAGTAACACTCTGGGATGTGTTAGCTACTGCTGCTGGTGATCTGGGGGTGATTGACTTTGTTTAGATCCTGTTGCCTGTGATGCCATAACTATGATCAGCAAACAGATCAACATTTAATAAACGTCAAGGCAGGGAGCATTGAAAATATCCATGATACGCAGCGGACTCTTATTTTTTAAGTTTCTCTTTAACCCTATGATCAAATAATACTGTAATATTCTCAGCTAGGCTTTCAAATGTTTGAAATGATAGGAATAGATTTTGGACCACATTTGTTAAACACAGACCTGTGCAGTATAAATGCACATCAATGCACACTCACGATCTGCAGTTTAATCTTGCTCGGCAAAGGATTGGAAAGAGACTGATTCCTTTATACTTCCTGATTCAATGTTGACCACCTATTCTACCATTACCCAAAGTAGGCCAAGCCATGCAGCTCAGCCCTGACATCTGGTACAACTGGGAGGGAGGATCATGACACAGCTGGCAGGAATAATGGAAACTGGGTTATTGTTCTGAGTATGGAAATGAGAGCTGTAGAGTTGCATACAGAGGACACTGAGGATGACATTAAGAGTGATTATGGCAAGAAGCATATGATGACTCATAAGGGTACTTC